TGCAACATTTATTACTTCACCTTTGAGATTGTTTTAGTTTTTCCATAAATACAAAGATCTGCAAGTCTTTGACTTCTGTCTGAAGACACATTTAGAGTCACCTGGACAAGCTTGATGGGAACGTTTAGTTTATAAACTTACAGTTTTACCTTTCAAAGTAAACTGGACAGGTCCTGGTCTCGGGTCTCAACGTAGAATTAAGGTAATTAAAAGCGTTACGTGACGATGGTGTGCCTGCAGACCAATGTTTGTCAGACACAGACACTCGTCTTGTAGCTATTCAAACAGTGGCTGCTCTAAATGAGGGGTCATTTGTGTCAGCAGGCGTGTTGTAGAACATTGTTCCCTGCTTTATGGTCCCATCTCCACCGTCCATCAACCTGGACAGTGTGTCATTTAGCCATCAGAAGTGTTTGCAGCAGAGCGCCGTCCTCCCACTGGGCTGTAAATAAAGCTCCCTCTGTATCATTTTCCTGTTTGACGATGGTGCAACCCTTCTGTTTTGGAGAAGGGACAACAGAGTAGAGGACTTTTTGTTTTGAACATCTCAAAAGTTCTCTCTTCTGCAGCATGGAAGCTTTTAAGTGTCCTTCAGGTTTGGACGCTGAGATTCCAAGAGTTTTTGCAAACATCAGTGGAAGGTGTTGTATTTTACTTTATTTGTGGTTCTGCCTATTCTTTTCTACCAAAATGCTTCTTTTGTTTTTTCCTGCAGTGCAGGAAGTTGCACTCCCATCAGGTGACACCAGTGTTGATTTGTGTGCAAAAACCACTCCTCCCAGACCTTCTGATGCGCACCCCTCTGCTGCCCAGAGCAAACCCCCCCGAGATGAGCCCAAGAAGAAAAAGCAGGAGAAGAAAGGTACGATGGTCCTGCTCACAATCCGTGGGTTTGTCACTAGTCAAACTAGAAATCATGGAAGTCAATGAGCAAACCTTAACTTTTTACTATCCCAGCAGAACATGAGGTCGTCATTATTACAAATAGAATGAGGTTGAAAACATGAATGGTGAATTTACTGAACTTCCGCAGCTCCTTTCTATCTGATCAACATCCTCGAAGCTCTTTACAACACGCACGCTCATTCAGATCTCTACTGCGCACGTCTACAGTCATCTCCTTGTCTTCTGCACTTGGACGTGATCTGATGAACTAATTGATCAGATTTTTCTCGTGTTCGTTTTTTAGTCATTGGAGGAGACTTGGCTCGTATAAGGTGATTCACACCAGCCCTGTTTAGCGTTAATCGCACTCTAGTCCGTTTGCCAAGATTAGAAAGTCCGGTTCGCTTGGGGAGGTGTGAGTGTGCAATCGAACTCTGGTCCGCCTAAACACCCAGGTCTCTGTTCAATTGAAGTGAACTCTGGCGTGGTTGAAATGCAGTGTGAATGCAAGCGGACCGGAGACCGCTCCAAATGTAGGAAGTGGACTACAGCGCAGGGCATTCTGGGTAAATACAGCCAAAACAAACACACATTTCTCTTACTTCATACAGAGCCTTGTGTGAAAAACAACATTCTCCATGAGCTTCTGCCTCATCCTCCTCTCACGCTGAGTCCATCCATCCATCCATCCATCCATCATCCATCCATCCATCATCCATCCATCCATATATCCATCCATCCATCCATATATCCATCATCCATCCATCATCCATCCATCCATCCATATATCCATCATCCATCCATCATCCATCATCCATCCATCCATCCATCCATCATCTTTTACCCGCTTCTTCCATCTTGGGTCACGGGGGTCGCCGGTGCCCATGTCCAGCAATCACTGTGCGAGGGGCAGGGGTACACCCTGGACAGGTCTCCAGTCCACCACAGGGACACAAAGAGACAAACGAAACAAACAGCCATTCACTCTCTCTCTCTCACCTAGGGACAATTTAGAGTTACCAGTCAGTCTAACATGCATGTTTTTGGTCTGTGGGAGGAAACCGGAGTACCCGGAGAAAACCCACGCATGCACGGAGAAAACATGCAAACTCCACCCAGAAAAGCCCCTGGACCGGGATTTGAACCGGCGACCTTGTGGCTGAGAGGTGACAGTTGTGCCAGTGTGCTGCCTCATGTCGAGTCCGTTGTTGAAAAATGACAAAACAGAACTCTTAAAACTGCTCAAATATGACGCCACTCCGTTTCTGGTTTTATTTCCAGAAGAAGAAGAAGTGCTTTCTGACTCTGAAATGTGCAACATTCCCCTCCCAGGTGTCTGATTTCAGGCGGGGGGCACTGTTTACACATAAATATTGTAGCGTCTCCTCTTGTTTCTGATCGCTGGAGGTGAGAAAGCGGAGAAGAAGCAGGCAACGCCCAGCCAAGACGAAGCCAAGGTGGACGTGTCTCGTCTGGACCTGCGTGTCGGTCGTATCATCTCAGCCGAGAAGCATCCGGACGCTGACAGTCTCTACGTGGAGCAGGTGGATGTGGGGGAGGCTGCTCCCAGGACGGTGGTCAGCGGGCTGGTCAAGCACATACCCCTGGAGCAGGTACACCGTTCAAGTCCTGATGTGCAGGAAACTATCACCGTACTCTGAAGTGCTCTCAGTCCATTTGAGTGACAGAAAATCATTTGACCGGTGTTTCAAAAGCTGAACTGCTGCTGAGGTGTTTGTTTATTTGTTTATTTATTGTCATTTTTTATTAATTTATTAGTATTTGCTACCATTGGTGTCACAGTAGTCCCTCGATTATCGCAGGTGTTGGGTCCCAGCGCCGCGCACGACAAGTAACTGCCAAGTAGTGATCGTAGTACAAGTAGTAGCAGTAAACAGTAGTGTATCGTAGTATTTGTGTACAGGTATATATGAAGGTGGTTTGAACTCTTCTCACACTCTCACAATGTTTCTAACAACTTTCTAAACTTAAACCTTTTTAAAATATTAATCTCAAATGGGCACTGACCAGACAAGATGAAGATGAGGAGTCTGTCCAGTGATTCAGAGAGTTATTTAGATCGTGTGCACTGGGTCCCAGTTACATCAGTGATGATGAAGGTGATGAAGATGAAACCAGGGCTTTGTCTTCCTGCTTCATAATCAAAGTGTGAGGCCGCATCCGTTTCCAGAACGGGTCTGTTCTGTCCACGTGAAAACCTTGTTCAGACCTGCAGAGCCCTCGGCGATCACGTCTTTGATCGTGGCGTTCACAAACTGCTCCTCCCCTGCTGTGAGCGGACGCAGCGTCTCCGTGCACAGAAGCGCACCGAATCCAAATCGGTTTGAAATTTGTCGACCCATCCGCTTCTCTGTCACCGTCAGCATCTCCCGCTGGTGTTTGGGTTCGTGGCCAGAAGCCTTTGAACGCACAGAACGATTAAAAACACAGCGCAGTGGTAACGCTTGAAGTGCAGCTGAAAAGGAGCGCAGGTAAACGGACGGTAACAGCCAATCAGCAGCCAGGACAGCAGAGCTGACGGCCAATCAGCTGCTGCTGGCAGGAAGTTACCAAGAGACAGCAGGAAGTTGTCAAAATAAAATGTAAAACTATAACTTGTGAAAACGATGAGGAAAAACAAGATAAACGAGCCGCTCCTGCATCTGAACCACGTTGTACACAGTGTGAGAGCAACGCAGTGGGTTGTACGCCGGCACTTAAACTGTGTGTCCTTGATGCAGATGCAGAGTCGCATGGCTGTGCTGCTGTGCAACCTGAAGGCAGCCAAGATGAGAGGCGTGCTGTCTCAGGCCATGGTCATGTGTGCCAGCTCGCCAGACAAGGTGGAAATCCTTGACCCTCCAAGTGGAGCAGTTCCAGGAGACCGAGTGACCGTCCAAGACTTTCCAGGTATCTGCTCATTGAGACCACGAGGCTTTGCTCACCACCACTGTCACTTTGAACCGTGTGAGCGAGACGCTGATCGTCTTCAGGGTCTGTCTTTTGTGGGGGGGGGGGGGGGGGGGGGTAATACGATTGATTTAATTGATAAAGGCTGTGGATAAAGACTTGACCTTCAGCCACAGCCTTTATCTTTTGACCCTACGTTAAAACAAGAGTAGAAAATGTCTTCCTCGTGTGTTTGTCTGTTTTACCACAAAGTTCCAGCTCGTTGAGTAGAGAAGTAAAACCCGTTCTTGTTCCTCACTAAAACTCTACAAGTCATTTTACAGCACGACTGTAAAAACACGAGCACTTCTCACTCACGTTTTAAAGACTCTGCTGAAAGTTCAAATACGTTTCCAGTCCAAGCCTCTTGCTTTAATGTAAGCGTGATGTTTGGAGCTGTGCACAGCAGGAAGGTCACGAGGCCGGCGGGACAGCAACAGCTTTTATTAATGCTACGCAACATCAAACATAATCACCGTGAATCAAGAAGCACGCCTCGGCGTTCTCCCAGCATGCACCTTGTGCTCTGGACACGTTCTGTTTTGATGTTGGAAATTACAGCCAAGAACAAACGGCCCTCTTTAAGAGTTCATGTTTTAAAGACCATGACAGAAAGTCAAATCGTTCACGATTCATGTGGAGCGCATAAAAATGATATTTCATCCAATAAATCCTGAATCTCTGAGGGTCACTGGCGCAGTTTGTGTTGGCGTCGTGTGCGTACAGATTGTCTTTAAAGCCTGGGAACATGAGCGAAGCTGAAGCTGTGAGTCTGACGACCACAGGACCGGACAGCTGCAGCTTCATGAACACTTTGTGGTTGCAGGTGAACCAGACAAGGAGCTGAACCCCAAGAAGAAGGTGTGGGAGCAGGTTCAGCCCGACCTGCGCACGGATCGCCACTGTGTCGCAACGTACAAGGGGGCCGCCTTCCAAGTGGTCGGCAAGGGGGTGTGCAAGGCCCAAACCATGAGCAACAGTGGCATCAAGTGAAGGAGCGGAGCTGCCCCGTGCTGACTCAGCAGTCCGGAGCTGACTCAGCAGTCCGGGGCTGACTCAGCAGTCCGGAGCTGAGCAACAACATGATGAATGATAAGAAAACACTTTCAACATGTTCAATAAAGGATTTGATTTGTTTCACTTTGTTGTTTCAAGAATCTGTCCAAGAACCGTCACCTTGAAACTGGATCCAGAGTCAGAGATTCTTTATTGTCATTCCACCTCATGAGTTATGTTCACAGGCTCCCCGTTACATCCAACAATAAAATGTCAAAGAAAAACTGTAACAGCATCTAAGATGTGAACTGAGAAAAACAACTAATATACACTGAGCACTCATTCAACACTAAAATAACACGCTGAACAGCAGCACGCACATGAGTCTGTGTGAGCAGATGAACACGCAGCAGCAACATGAAACAGATCAGCAGCAACGTGAAACAGATCAACATCAACATGAAACAGATCAACATCAACATGAAACAGATCAGCAGCAACATGAAACAGATCAGCAGCAACATGAAACAGATCAACAGCAACATGAAACAGATCAGCAGCAACATGAAACAGATCAACAGCAACATGAAACAGATCAGCAGCAACATGAAATAGATCAGCAGCAACATGAAACAGATCAGCAGCAACATGAAACAGATCACACCTAGAGACAATTTAGAGCTACCAATCAGCCTACCATGCATGTTTTTGGTCTGTGGGAGGAAACTGGAGTACCTGGAGAAAACCCACGCATGCACGGAGAGAACATGTAAACTCCACCCAGAAGGCTCCTGGACCGGGGTTTGAACCAGGGACCTGCTCGCTGAGAGGCAGCAGCTCTACCAGTTGCGCCACCGTGCTGCCCGAACAGAAACATTCATCTATAAAATAATAATTGAACAGAAACATTCATGTATAAAATAATAATTGAACATTATTTATCTGAGGAGCAGCTTTGAGTTTAACTCCATCACTGAACTCTCATCTTGAACAAGCATGAAGGCGACAGTGGAAAGAAAAACTCCCTCATGAGGAAGAAACCTTTAGCAGAACCAGGATCAGGACAAGAGGACCATCTGCTTGAGGACTTGCATATGTGAGTTACTTCAGTATCACATACACTAAAGTGGGAAAGATATAGAGAAGATTATCATGGCTCCAATTTCCTGTGGGATCAATAAAGTTCTATCTTAACATTATATCGAGACGTCCCTACAATGATAAGCTGCACAGAAGATGTTGGAGTCAGCCTCCCCACCATCACAGACATCTACACCTCCAGATGCAGGAAGAGGGCCACCTGCATCATGAAGGACCACACTCACCCAGCACACACACTTTTTGCCCCGCTCCCCTCAGGAAGGAGGTTGAGGAGCATTAAGTGTAGAATCACTTGACTGAGGAACAGCTTCTACCCTGAGGCTGTTAAACTCATGTTGCTGCTGATCTGTTTCATGTTGCTACTGATCTGTTTCATGTTGCTGCTGATCTGTTTCATGTTGCTGCTGATCTGTTTCATGTTGCTACTGATCTGTTTCATGTTGTAACTGATCTGTTTCATGTTGCTGCTGATCTGTTTCATGTTGCTGCTGATCTGTTTCATGTTGTTACTGATCTGTTTCATGTTGCTTCTGATCTGTTTCATGTTGCTGCTGATCTGTTTCATGTTGCTACTGATCTGTTTCATGTTGCTACTGATCTGTTTCATGTTGTAACTGATCTGTTTCATGTTGCTACTGATCTGTTTCATGTTGCTTCTGATCTGTTTCATGTTGCTACTGATCTGTTTCATGTTGCTTCTGATCTGTTTCATGTTGCTGCTGATCTGTTTCATGTTGCTATTGATCTGTTTCATGTTGCTACTGATCTGTTTCATGTTGCTACTGATCTGTTTCATGTTGCTGCTGATCTGTTTCATGTTGCTACTGATCTGTTTCATGTTGCTACTGAT